TGGTTTCTCCTCGTTTGTTTTAGTGACCGACTCTTACGTTTCGACCATTTTTATTTTTTTTTCAGGAAATCATGAATATCGTTCTACTGAAAGGTGTTCTTCTCGGAGTAATGTTCTCTACAACCCTCCTGTTCGGACTGATCCCACTAAAGGTAAAGAAATTCTATTCATAGTACTCTTCGCCGCTGGCTGCGTTCATACTCAGAACATAAGAACCTCGCCAAGAGGATCGAGCACGAATCCATGTCATTGATATTCTCCCAAATGGGGAGGGGGGACACAATCAGTTCGTTTATAATCCTCTTCCAAAGTTCCAGTTCTCCTAGTTTCCAAGTCTCTAATGTCTCAAAGTTGTAGGAGTGAACGCAGCCCGAGAAAATCTAGAAGTTCACCGGCCGCCTGCTTTTTCAGGTGATGCAAACCCTCGCACGAAGCTCAGGAAAAGTCGAAAAGAGAGCTTCTTTCATCATTTCATTACTGTCGTGTTTTGCTGGTGGAGTTTTTCTAGCCGTCTGCTTCTTGGATATGATGCCGGACGCTTAGTAAGTTCATAAAAGTTTGTAAAACGTAGTTGCAAGGTTGTCCATACTCGTCCTGACGTTGAGAAGAAATTTTGCGCAACTTCTCCCTCCCACAAGCTTTCTTTTCCAGTACACCCACTTCCACAGCCAACCGATCAGCTTACAAAACCTCCCGGGGATTTTCCGTTGAGGGCAGGGTGGGGGAGAGTAGCCGATGAACTATCAGAAATATTATAGTCTCGCGAAAGCGCCAGCCAAGGCACATCATTGGTTAGGGATTTTGTTCCAGTCTGTGCGACCCGTTGGTACACCCCGCCCCACTCTCTAGCCCTCTGTCCCTCCTTCAAATCGAGCCGTCGAGCGGGGGTAAATAGCACATGTGAAACAGGAAAAGCGCGAGACAATACGACCCCCTTTTCTACCAATTCTCAGATTTTCCCCAACTTCCTGCCACTTTTTCCAAAATTTCCCGAAAACTTCCCTACTGGAGAGGGGGGATAGTACATCTAGAACAAGAAACCCTCTCATAGAAGCTCAGAAGA